CAGAGATCAGAGTATGTAGCAAATATAATTCGCCGCATATTAGACTTTCTCAACATATAATCACCGCTCCTCGTGGAACTTGTCCCTAGAAGGGGGGGTAATGTCACGGATATACATATAATTACCTACAAGAGTCGATAAAAGTATGTAAAAGTAAATAAAAGTAGGTTAATTATGCAATATCTTCTAGAGAAGCTTCCTAGAAGCTTTATAGATGCTGCTTTGATCTTATAGGAGTCCATAGTTGACTTTTAGGTTAGAAACTTGGTCAACAAGTTAGCCATGTGCCACACATGTTGGTAGCTTGAAGGACAAGCTAACTACGTAGTCCACTCATAGAAAACTTGCCTTGCAAGCAAAGTCATGTGGTCTAGAAAGTCAACACATATTAGAGGTCTTATAGAATATCGCCACGTGGCTTCTAGTTAGATAGTATATATAGAGGCAAGAGTGAAGCTCTCTTCACTCTTGTCAACTCCTTTCTTGCTTCTAGTCTAGTTTCAAGGGTCTCTAGTTTTCTTGTCCTTTGGCAATAGCCATTCCAGTTTCTCTTTCAATATATATATTTGTTTATTTACCTCTCTTTGAGTGAAGGCTCACTTGTCTGAATTATTTTTTATTGAGTTCTTGTCCTTGACATCTATGACTTCTACATGTACAAATTTAACTTTCTTCACTAAAGGTATTTTTTGATTTTTGGCAAAATCTTTATCTATAAAACATGCAGAGGCTCCTAAATCTAACAAGGCAAAGACTTTGTGATTATTAGGTCCTAAATATACTTCTATTATAAAACAAGGTGAAGAATCTGAGGAGAGGATAAAACCTTTACTAGGTGTTGTACATGATTCCAGCCGCACAGTCTCTATTGTAGCTGAAGAAATTCATTTTTCAACACATTATCTTCTTTGGTAATTGTACTCCTCATTTTATAATTGCGTTGCTTCTTTGGACAATGTTGAGCAGTGTGCTTAGCTTCTCCACAATATAAATATAATCCCTCTTAGCGACGTTGAGTCTTTTCTTGCTTCATGAGGAGTTTAAAACATATCATATCAATTTGCATTGGTTCTGGCTTTGACGGATATGTTTCAGAAAACTTGAGAGTTGCCACTATTACTTGACTTATTCCTCTCCAACCAAATCTTTGTTCTTGATGCCTTTCAAATAAACAATTGTCACATGCAATGGCTTGAGTAATAAATTATTCCAAAGATTTTACTTTTGATATTATTAATAACAAATCTTTGATGCTATCCTTCAAATCCATATGGAAATTGGTTGATAAGTGCTTTGTCTTTCTAGTCCACGACACAAGTAAGGTTTTGGAATTAGATAGCATATATAGTGGCTAATTGTGATTCTTGTCGTAAGAATAAAAGCTTAGTCTCTACTACTTATTCTTGATCACTTTCTCCAAATGTGGCCGTAAATATTTTTAGGAATGGATTCAAATCATAAAAGAGTCATGAATCTTTTTTCATTAAAGATGCATATCAAGAGAGAGCACTTTTTGATAGTAGTATATCTATGAATCCGACTTGGGCAAATCCATCAGGATATTGGAAAAGATCCAACCTTAGATAGAGCTTGACTTGTTGCAAAAATCCTCGAAATTTTCATCTTGTTCCATCAAAATTCTCAGGCATACTAATCCTTATCCCTATCATACTTGTAGAAGCAAAACTCCATGGATTTGGTTGTGATGTTGATTTACTTACTTCTTTCAACTGCACAACTTCTTGTCGCAGACTCTGAACTTCTTCCATAGGCATAGGCATAGTACTTCCATGATTCACGTTAGAAATACGTAACATTTCTCCTCTTAGAGTATTGACAAGTTCATAAAGATCTGCCATAGTTGCAAATCTATTCTCACTTCCGTTGAGAGTAGCATCCGTAATCTTTCCTTCCATAGAGAACTCAAATAAATTCAAAAGTTAAATTAGAGGAAGGTAATCCACAACCTCTAAAAATAAATCCCATAAAGAAGGATAATCCTATCTCTTTAAGGAAAAGATCAGTGTTAGAAAACAAGATTTTTTGTTTAAAGCTAGGTAGTCTGCAACCTTCAAAATACAACAATATCAGTGGAATAATTCACTCACTTCTAAAACAAGACAGAAACAATATGTTAGAACTCTTGTCAAATTGTCAAAGACATGAATTTCAAAAAAAGAGAATCCTCAATACACTCTTCTATTACTAAAGAAAATTAGAAAGTCACTCAAAAGGTGATGTAATATTAACTAGAATGGCTATTGCCAAAAACAAGAAGACTAGAAAGTCTTGAAACAAGACTAAGACTAGAAAGTCTTGAAACAAGAGTAAGACTAGAAAGGCATTGACAGAAGTGAAGAAGGCTTCACTCTTGCTTCAATATATACTATCTAACTAAAAGCTATGTGGCGATGTCTTATAGGGCCTCCAACATGTATTGACTTTGCTAGCCACATGTCTTATCTTGCAAGGCAAGTTATCTATGTATGTGCCACGTAGTTGGCTTGTTCTACAAGCTATCAACACATGGTTAGCTTTTTGGCCAAGTTTCTAACCTACAAACACATCTAAAGTCAAAACCGCTTCTAGGAAGCTTTTCTAGAAGACTTTATGAAATTATTCTATATTTACCAACTTCTACTTAATCATATAAGTAACTATTGAAGTAAAGGTATATGTCCATGATAGTATGCCACATAGTTAATTTTTTCCGTAAGCTACCAACATGTGGTTAACTCGTTGACTAAGTTTGTAGCCTATTAATCAACTACAAAAACATATAAAGTCAAAGCAACATCTATGAAGCATCTAGAAAGTTTTTTTAGAAAATATGTTTTAAAAGCTTTATAGATGTATATTTGACTTTATACAAATTTATAGATGATTGATAGGTTAGAAACTTATCCAACAAGTTAGTCATGTGTTGCACATGTAGATAGCTTGTGATATAAGTTAATGATGTGGTACACATATAAAAAACTCATCTTATAAATTAAGACATGTATTTTACAAATTGGACATGCATTAGAAGACTTGTAGAATATTGCCTCATAGCTCTTAGTTAGATAGTATATATAAAAGCAAGAATGAAACCTTCTTCACTCTTATCAATGTCTTTCTAATATTTAGTCTTATTTCAAGACTTTCTAATCTTCTTATCTTTGGCTATATCCATTCTAATTTAATATTATATCATCTTTGAATGATTTTCTAGTTTGTTTTAGTATCATAAGAATTTATTGAACTTTTAATGATTTTAAAAATCATATCCTTGATAATATGCTCATTAGTAATTATACAAAAGATAAGGTGAAATGGATATTTTTTTCTTTATAGCTTAAATAATGTTGTCTTGAATAATATTATCTTTAAAAGAAATAGTTTTAAAAAAATTAAAAAACCATATTAAAAAACATTCAAAATGATTATTAAAAAAAATAAAATATTGATTATTTTTATACTTCTCATATTTTTTTTTGAATCAAGATATGAGCTAACATATTTACATTTAATTTTTTAAAAATGATTTGATCTATTTCATGGCTTCTTCACATTTTATATTACATCTAAAGAACAAGATTTTTAATTGAAGGTTATTTATCACCGAGTAAAAAAATTGTAATAATTTTTTTTATTCTTGGTCTTTTAAAGTAAATTTTTAGGTATAAAAAGCCATTAAATTTTATATATTTATGCAAATTATCTAAAAAAATATTTTAAAACTTAATCTAAAATATTTAATTGAATTTCTTTCAATAAATAGTATATACATAGTATTTTATTTAATTTAATTGATAAAAATAAATAAAAAGAAGAAGCAATAATCATTTCATCTACATATCATGAATTGATATTACTTTATTTAATTTATAATCTTAAAGAAAATTTTCATTAAATTGTTTATCTAGAGGCTATAAAAACCTATTATCAAGGTTATTGAAAACACAATATGTTCAATTTGTTGTTTCTAAGTTGAGATTTTTTTTGTATCACAACTATAAAAGTATACACTTACACGTTTTATGTAAGCCAAATATTTCATTACATTCTTGTAAAATCTTATTATTTTGTCAATGCGATTCTTAACTACTATACTTTATTATACTTGTTTTATTTATGACAATTTGGGTTCCAATCAGAACAAAATTTAAAAGCATCAATTTTTTTCAGATTTATAAATATTTTAATTACTTTTAGATGATTCATTTTTATCAAATGCAAAGTTTTGAAGAAGAAAATAAAAATAAATGTAACATTTTATAATTTTCACTTGTAACAAGCATCCTTGATCAAATTATGTACAAATGCCTATAATTGAATGTAATCTATATTAAAGATTTCATGCATTAATTTGTTTTTTTTTAAATAAAAAATTGTGCAAACATAAATAGAATCAAATAGTGATGATGCAAGTAAGATATATCCAATTACCAAAAATCAAGTTTTATTTAATTATTTAATTATTTATAACATTAGATATGTTTTTAATATAATATTAACATTGATCTTTAATACAATTCCTCAATACATGACTTTCCTCAATACAATTCAAAATTTGTGATATTACATATCAACATATCAATCTTCAAAAGATCATAGTATATGTATGTGTAAAAATTAATAAAATACAACAATCGTGTAGCAAGTAATAAAAAGAAAAAAGAAAAAACTGCACAGGGACCTCTAGCTATCATTCATCCCTCTGGCGAAAACTCATCCAGCCCCAAAAGTTGGACCAAGAGCGGGCCCACCACAAGAACCGCTCGCACTGTTGACGTGGCAATTCCATCACGTGTGAACACGCAACTCGGCATTGGAAAACAATGACAGAAGAAAGAAGGGAATTACGGAAAAGGAAGGGCTCTTAAACCCGCGCAGGGGAGCTGCCTTTGAACGAAGAAGAAGAAGACTTTGGAAGGCCAGGGAACGAGGACTCTCAAGACCCCCGCCCTTCCCCGCCCGGTCCTTGGGCGAGGACTCCAAGACCTAGACTAGACTAGACTTACTCTTCCTCCTCCTCGCTCACTCGGACATAGCCAGACGAGGCGGAGGAGGTTGGGAGGGACACTGCGAGAACAGGGTGCGTGCGAGCAAGCGAGCGAGGGATTGCGGGGGGACAGGGATCGAGAATGCGGTCACAGGAAGGAGAAGGAGGATGATGATGAGCTGATTAAGCTGAGAAAGTGAGGAGGAGGAGGAGGGTTGGATTTGGCGTCGAATTGTGTGTGGGGAGCGGGCGAGGAGGAGTGAGGGTTTTGGGGAGGAGTAGGGCCTTGAGAGAGAGAGAGAGAGAGAGAGAGAGAGAGAGTGCGTTGGTGATGGCGTCGTCGATGTATCCGGGCAATCCGCCACCGGGGAGGCCACCAGTGCCACCCCCGCCTGGCGCTTGGGGGAATCACTACGGGCCTCCGATGCATTATGGCCCGCCTGGGCATTACCCCGTGCCGATGGGGTTTAACCCTAACGGGCAATTGCCGATGCCTCTACCTCTCCCGCCTCATCACGGAGGGTATCCCGGAGGACCCCTCCTGCCGGGGCATTTGCCGCCTGGTGGTGCCTACCCTGGCGTCCCTCACTATGGAGCTCAGCCTCCACCGCCTCCCGGTGCTGGAGTGCAGAAGATTTCGGCTGGACCCGGAGGGCCGCAGCAGGGAGTGGTTCAAGGACAGGGGGGGTTTGGGAACAGGGTGCCGCAGCAAGGGGGAACCTCGCAGGTGGATTCTGTGCCGGGGCGTAGGGAGGAGACGAAGGAGGAGAGGAATGAGAGGAAAAAGAGAGAGTATTATGAGAAGAAGAGGCAGGAGGAGAAGCGGCAGCGAGGGAAAGGGCAGCCGATGAGGCCTGGGGCTGGGAGTTCGAAGCCTGCTAATAACGGTTCGAGGGATGCGTATGCAGACAAGAAGGTAGCCTCGAGTGTTGGGGATAAAATTGAGAATAGGCTCAAGCGCCCGTCAACATTCTTGTGTAAAATAAAGTGAGTGGGCATGTGGCGTAATGATTGTGACACAGGGTGCATGCTTCCCCACTCATGGCACTGTTGAGCACTGACTACTATATTTTATTTCCTTGCAGAACCTAAAATGTATCTACCCTTCTGTCCTTTTCTTCTATCTGAGTTTTCCCGCAAAGAGTTCGTTGTATTAGTCACATGTAGGTTCAGTAGTGGGCTCTGATGGAGCTTGCAGAGTTCTTCTGCTGAAAACGGGGTTGGCAATTTCTTATTCTGACCTATTATTCTGAATCTGTTATCTGGCTTCAGGTTTAGAAACGATTTGCCTGATAGCACGGCTCAACCCAAGCTGATGCACATAAATACTGATAAAGACAGGTGTGTCGGCTTTCCGCTTCCTTAAATGTTCTTCAAATAAATTGTTTAGTTCAACGAGAAATTCTTTGTCATGTATGCGTCCTGCTCAGATGGTCCCAATCCTTGGTGAGAAAGCCTCCGCGCTCTTCTGTAGCTGAAAATGTGCAAATTGGATTGCTTGCAGGTACACCAGGTATCAATTTACTTCATTGGAGAAGAACTGGAAGCACAAATTACATGTGGAGCCTGATCTTGGTATCCCATTGGATCTACTGGATATCAGCAACTATAAGTAGGCTATTCATTCCCTTCTTAATTTATTTGCTCCCATCTATCTTTGACTGAATATGGCAGTATCTTTGAGGGCATCTGTCGTTACTTTTCGCATTCACAACCTTAAGATTGCATCAGTAGAAATTATCTTTCAATGGTGCAGGTCATTACGTAACTGAATAGTATATTATATTCCTTAGCATGAATTTTCTTGGTTGCAGGAAGATCGATGCTTCAGTGCCTTTAGATCCAGAAGATGCCGCACTCCTGTTGGATGATGAAGTAAAGGTGAAGAAAGATTCCTCAGGCATACGGAAGAAAGATAGGCCAACTGACAAGGGTGTGGCATGGCTCGTGAAGACACAATACGTCTCTCCCATCAATCTCGATCCTGCCAAGCAGGTTTGTTTTCGTTTCTCTGGCCGTAGTCCTCTTATCATGGTTTCCTTTTACCCTCATGATAATTCGATCCACGCGTATCACTTTTCTAAAGTCGTTTTTTGATGTTAATGAATCATTCTAAGAATTGGTGGTGTCATATTGGCAGGCTATGACCGAAAAGCAAGCCAAGGATTTGAGAGAGCAACGTGAGGGTCGGCGTATCGATGTTGAGGCAGGAAATGATAGGTGTGTTTTCACTTATGCTATGTGTGGCTATCCCTTTCACAGTTCCGATTGGAGTTCGTTTGCTGGTTCCCGTACTGCACTAATTTTCAGCTGCTGAGCTTGGTTCAAAATCTGGTCCTATTCCCACGCTTCTGGTATTGTTTTCTCTCACATTCTTAAATACCCTCATGCTGATAGCGTATGCCTACGAATATCGTCATGTTCCAGGCAACAGCAAATTGAAGCAATTGAAGAGTCCTTCAGAGCTGCAAAACAACTTCCTAAACATCTTACCAAACCTGAACTCGAGCCTGTCGAAATTCTGCCGTTGCTTCCTGATTTCGAGAGGTACAATCACTTCTCTGCAATTCACTGCAACATGGTAGAGATATGAGAATGATTATTAATTCTCTATGAGCACTGTATTTCTGGAGGCGGAGTTTTTTAGACCATAAGTTTCAGTGCTCTCCATTGACAGTTTTTCTACAGGAGACAAGTATATTCTTTAAACTTACTCTTGTGGACCAGAGATTGAAACATGTCATGCGCACACTCTGAAGTTGATTTTGTGGATTGTGAGATGCAGGATGGGCGACCAGTATGTGCATATGGTTTTTGATACTGATCCTCTGACGGATGCCCCCGGATTAACGGACTTGGACCAAGACGCACGCCTGGAAATCGAATCACGGGTACTTGGTCCTAGCATGTCTCAGTTAGCCTTTGTTGCACACCTCACAGTTCAATTGCTGAAATAATATTAGAGTTTACAACGCATGCATTCTTATTTTACTTGATTGAATTTATCTGGGTTTGTCCCTGTACTGTTATTAGATACTTATTCTTGTTGATCTTGCTTTTGGTAGGCAATCGTGAAGAGCTTCACAATTGCTACTTCAGACGAATCGAAGCCCGAAAAATTTATTGGGTATATGGTTCCGAAACCAGATGAGGTATAGTTAATCTGTTGTTTAATTTCTGCTTTTTCAGATTCAAACTATAGTTCTTGCAGCATTCCATGTTATTTCTTTCAAAGACCTGTGAATGCGAGAAATGCTTGGTGTGTTAGTGTAGGCAACTTTAGCTGTTACACTTGTTTTGTGATGGTTTTCTTATCTCAGAAACTCCCCTTTTTTTCTTGGTTTTACTTTGCAGTTGGATAGGAATTTTTACGACGACGAAGAAGAAATTCAATACACATGGGTGCGAGAGTATCATTGGGATGTAAGACGATAATCCACATAATGTTTCAATTTTATAGCCTTCTTTATGATCATGTTGATTTTTTCGGGAATAGCAGGCAATTTGTGTCCATGAGTAAAGGTCTAATCGGTTATGTTTGCATTACAATCATCTTACAGATCCGACCCGATGATTCGAAGAACTTCGTTTTTTGTTTCAGTGAAGACGCTGTTCATTATTTGGTGAATTATCTCATCCATTTTTCGCTATTTTATTCTAAATTTTATAGTAACACAATGAAAGCCTGTTTTTTCATTACTGATTGCACTCAAATGACATTGGCAGTTTATTGTTGGATGGATGCCGTTTCATTGATCTATTCTTTTAAATGAAATGATAATTTAGAGAGGTAGCGTATGATGATTCTGAACCACTTTCTGTTTCCTCTTGCAGCCCTTAGGCACAAAGTTGGTGCTTCAAAAGAAAAAGGCAAAAGATGGAAAGTCAAAATATGACACTGAAGATAGAGATTTCCCAGTACCTGCGAGTGTGACTGTTATTAGGAGAGACCCCACTCAGGACGAAGAGGATATAAGAGAAGATGCTAGAGAAAAATTCATGGAGGTGAGTGTTTTTGGTAAATTCGAACTTTTATTAGGTCTGCTGGTTGCTAGAGGTAGAAACTGTGTTGGTGTGGTTCCTGTATCTTGGGATCAGCACCAATTTGCTGCATTTGTTTCTGAGCTCATTGAAGGGTCTCCAATCGTTTGTAATTCTCCACCACTTATATCAATCCTAGTTTCATAACAATGATCTGTTGTGTTCATCAGGGAGGAGATACGTACAGACGAAAGAGATCACGGTCGCCAGAGGATGACATTCCAGTGAGCACGAAGCGAAGAGGGCGTCAAGATGATTATAGTGATGAAGAAGATGAAATGTCGGTGTAAATTTTGCACACATGACATGTTCCCAAAACCCTCGCATGTACACAAGCTGAACTAAGACGGATCTTGATTTCACCAAAACAGCTCAGTTTCAGCATTTGATTTTTTTTTCTCTCATCTTGTGAAAAAGTTCTTGGCATTGACCTGTAAAAATTGAGGCTGTGGGGATGGAGGCGTGGTATTTGGTGCCTTGGTGTTGCACACTCTAGCCAGCTCGCTGTAATATGGGTATGTGAAACCGTCCGCGTCGTAAATTCTGGTTTTGAGGACGGGAAGAATTGGAAGTGAGCAACTAAGATCTAACCATTAGATCGTGCAGTGCTATCTCCTAATCGCACAGGATTTTCAAAAAACATGTATTGTCTTGATTAATTATGATAGCTCTTAACTGCTTGTACGAGTTTCAAGCTCTTGATCATAATCCCGTGACTAGATTCTGTTTCTACAGGTAGTATCGATAACATGGTACTTCGTTCACTATTTCTGGCAGTTGAAAGATGGGCTTAGAAAGTGCATAGGTTTCCAATTAGTGGTTGTTCAGTCAAACTTACAGTACACAAACAAATCCTTGACTTCTGTTCTCTACCATTTGATTCTGTAATGTATGTGGACATGTTGGGTCCAGTCGTTTATTTCATTCATCGTCATTGGATTTTATTTGTTGGTATACTTGTGTGCAAGACACATGAATTTGTAAAAAGAAAAAAAAAAAAAAAAAACAAAACAAAGGAAAAAACTAGTTTTCAAGGTAAGTATGAATGATAAGTGAAAGATTATTCAGCAGCAGCAGTGTGTGAACTACTGCCTGCTAATGATGACTATTAAAATTTTGGAGTAAGGTATATATCTACCAAATGTCTTTTTACTTGCTTATTTTAGTATTTATATTTGTTACATCTTATTGCCTTTGGTAACAAAACATCAATTACTTGATTTATTGTTCAAGGATCACACAAGTTAAATAATTTTTTTTTTCAATATATTAAAACTTACACAAAATTAACTATCATTAAAATCATTCCACTTGATATTAATTGCTAGTTGAAATTGAGGTGCATAAGTAAATAAGTTATAGTTTTTCTATTACAAAACCAATTCTTCGTTTGTTGTACCAACTACACTCCATTTTCCATACATGGCTTGAAACTTTGCCAAAAATGCCTCTAATTTTTTTAATATTGGATCTTGTTTTTCATAAATTGATGCAAATTAATTAAGAGCTTCTCCACTAAGCAATGTTCCAATCAACTTCACTTGAATTTCTTTGGTTGTATAACTCAATGGTTGGAGCTCAATAAAAAGTTGTACTTGAATCATGAATTCTTGAAACTTAGATTTTGTTCCATCAAACTTATTTGGAAAAGCCACTCTTGATTCTTTACCAAATGCAAGTGTGTTTCTATGGCCTACTTTAGTTGGTGCCCTTGTTGAAGAAGTTCTTGCTATCCTTATGCCTTCTTGATGTTGGTTGATGTAGTGAATAGAGTTGATGGATGGCAAGCTTCAATTCCTTTATTTGTTGTAGTAGTTGTAACATGGCAATCTTCATTTCTTCTAGTTCAGCCATGACCAAAATAATTGGAAAAGCTCTACACAAATATAAGAAGGAATGATAAAATATAATTTTTACAATAAAAATATCAAATAGGATGAAGATAATTTACAATCTCTAAAATAATAAGATATCTAAAAAAAGAAGTAGTCTATTTTTTAATAAATCAAAAACAAAGATCTAATATTGCATGTGTAGCTTTGGCAAACCATCAAGGATATGAATTTAGAAAGACTTTTTAAAATACTATTTCTTCATATATAACTAAGAAAGAAGAAAGAAGACTAAGAAGAGGTATAATGTCATTATATTCTTGTATCACTAAAAAAGAGTAAATATTCATTCAAAAATAATTATAATATTAAAACTATAATAACTATGTTAAAAATAAGAAGAATAGAGACTCTCAGAACTAAACTAGAAGCTATCAAGGACATGAACCAGAAGAAGTTGTATAAACCTGAGAAATCTATATCAAAAGAAAAGTGACAAAATATAAATAAAGTAGTATGCATATTAAAAAGAAATAGGAATGGCTATAGCCAAAAGACAAGGAAAGTAAAGACTCTTGAATCTAAACTAGAAGCAAGAAAGGAATTGACAAGAGTAAAGAAGGCTCTATATATACTATCTATTTAAGATCTATGTGGCAATGTTCTATAGGACCTCCAAAAACGTATTGACTTTGCATGACATGTATCTTGACTTGCAAGATAAGTTTTTTATATGGCAGCCACATAGTTAGCTTGTTCCACAAGCTATCAATACATGTGGCACATAGATAGCTTGTTGACCAAGTTTCTAACATATCAATCAACTACAAATATATATAAAGTCAAAATAGCATCTATGAAGCTTCTAAAAAGTTTCTCTAGAAGGTATTATGAAATTAATCTACTTTTACTTAATTCTACCTATCTATATAACAATTATAGTAGGTATATATCCATGACAGAAGCAAGAAAGGAATTGATAGCAATAAAAGAAGCCTCACTCTTGCCTCTATATATACTATCTAAATAAGAAACTATGTGCCAACATTCTATAGATCATCCAACATGTGTCCAAATTGCAAACCATCTATCTAACTTGCAAGGCAAGTTTTTACTATGTGTGTCACATGGCCAACATGTATAACATGTGGCTAATTGATAAAATAAGTTAACATGTACAACATGTGGCCAACTTATTGGCTAAGTTTTCAATCCACCAATCACCTACAAACACTTAGAAAGCCAAATCTGTGTTTATAAAGCTTCTAAGAAGCTTTTTAAAAGATATTATTAAACTTACCTACTTCTATTTACTTCTACGTAATTCCTCTTATCTTAGTAATTATTAGTGTATATATGTACATGAGGAACAGATAAATATCCAATTATATTATATATTAAAATAACTATTGGAAAGTTGAAAAAAGTAAAGATCTTCCAACTAAGATTGGAATACAATCCTAATATAAAAAAGAGTAAATATAGTCTTAATCTTATTTTAGTATAAATTACGTAAGAAAAAGAGCATGTGAAAGCTTACTAAAAACTACATGGCTTGTAAGCCAAGCATCCAACTTATAGAATGGTTTTATAGAGGCTTCCTAAGAATAAGAAACTTGTAGGAGAAGTTTGCATAACCATGTGGCATATCTAGATTAAGTCTTTGATATTTCTCAAGAAAAATATTTATCTTTTATGAAGTATCACTTCTAATTTTTAGTTTTGGATAATAATAATTTAAATATTTATTGCATGTAAATTATTTTATAAAAAAATTAATTGAATTTTTAATAGTTAAATATAACTTATAATATATATATATATATATATATATATATATATAACATACATATAACTAAAAATTATATATATATATATATATATATATATATTTCTATCCTAAATAATTTAAAATTGCTCTACATGAGCTTTTAATGTGTATATGTTCTTATTTATGCATATATATTTTTTCCAAAGTTCTAAATAATGGTAGATATTTTTAAGAAGCATTCTATTTCATATATATATATATATATATATTTATATTTATAACATATTTATCTTAGATTAAACTACTTGAATAAAATAATGTGAACTATTGTAGACATTCACATTGATTAACAAAATATATTACATGTATTTGCAATATTGACTTTATGTATGTTGCCCTCCACTGGTACACATTAACCACTTATTTAAACACTTTCTTTTATCATATTCCGATGTAAATACCCAATCTTTTTTGAACTTCTCTAAACGCCAATCTTGATATAGTTCAGAGTGAATAAGGTAAAAACAATGAAACGAAATATTTTAAAACCTTGCAACTGGGTGTAATGAAATAATATTCTTGCAACTTAATGTACTTATACGGTTACTCCAAAATTTAGAATATAATGCAATGCTGCGTTGAGAGAACATGTAGGAACATATGTCAAAATACAAATTATGATTCCAAAACAGAAGAAAATGGTTCCAATATTGAGGTATCCATCAAATTGGGTGAAGGTTGTTTCAATGTGGTACTTTCTTTCTGGAGTACTCCAAATGATCAAATCCTGACAAAATAATCTGTTGTCAGGATATGTCTGCAGATATTAATTCAGGTAACTTGAGCTTGTTAAGTTAATGTTTCTGATGGATAGGCAACACTGGACGACAGACAACTGGGTACATCTCTTAAGAAGGTCATTACTGTCAAAGAGCCAACATATTAAAAAGAGTTGCCACCGACCTTCGAACTGAAGAAAGAATGGTCATGTATGATCCAAGTTACACAGGAAGAAAGACCGCAAATATACTCAAAATTTTGACCATTGGGTGGCTTTAGTGTGAATATCACGTGAAAGAGTCTGTGTGATCAACTTAGCTCTGAGCTTTCCAACTTTGGCCCAATGACAAGGCTGCGTATATATTACCAGTGCAGGGAAAAGCCACACGTGCTGCTGAGAAAGCCTCCCATTTCTTGTAGGATGCAGTTCAAGCGTGAACTGTGAAGCCAAAAATCAGCATACACAAGAATTGTCACCTCAACACACACTAAATAGAGGCCAGTGCATATAAGATGTTTGGCATAATTGTACAGAGTGAAGAATATGTGCATCGTGAGTAATCTACTTGGAAAAGGTGACTTTGGAGATGATAGTAGAAGCTTGATCACCACCCAGCAGGAAGTAAGGGTGGCGCAGAGCAGATTCAGCCGACAGTCTACCCCTGTTGAACGCATTTCGTCCACATACTAGTTTTGTTGCTAAATCCCAACCCTTTCCACCGTCCGCATCCAGCAAATCGAAGTTTATTCTTGCCACTTTAGTTATGTCCCTCCACTTTTGCAAGTTGTATCCTACGGATTCTATCTCTTTTTTGAACGTCTGCAGTCCAATTGATGTTCGCAGTCCCACGCAACACATTTGGAGGAAAATTACGCCGATGGAGTACATGTCGAACAAGTCTGGACTGTTTAGCTGCACACGTTTTACGTAATCTGGTCTGAGACACATTGTTGACAAGAATGACCATATCTAATTCATAGCACAAGTCATACAGATAAAAAACGAAGTCGGATAAAATTTGTTAAAATTTCTTACCTGCCAAAGCAAAGGCGAAAGAATAGCAGCAACCGGGGCAGGAGGAGGCAAGGGAGTCTCCTCTGGAAGAACATAAAGCTCCGGAGGACAATAGTCCGGATCGAGAATGCCTCGATCCGGTACATAGTTCTTCCCTACTCGGAGATCTGTTGCTGCTCCAAAATCAATGAATTTCAATTTGCCCTTGTCCGTCACCACCACATTCGAGGGCTTCACATCCCTGTGAATGATGCCTACTGCATGCATTTTCTTGAGGCAGGTGATGATTTGCCGCATAATCTGCGTGATTATAAGCGAATTCCGCTTGATTTCGTCGTCATTGTTCAATGTTCGTCCGAATAGAGGAACTTCCAGGTTTTGCGGAAAATTCTGTTGCTTCATAAAATCCAAAAGCGTTGAATCGCCCTGCACTTCAAACAGGAATGTCAAAACCTTCAAAAACTAAGCTCACACTGTCGATGCCATGCAGAAGCAGTAAACGAAGGTTACAAGAGGAAATTCTTCCATCCATGCTCAGTTTCTATCTCCGTGATCTCCGTAATACATGTAGAGCTAAAAAGACCAAACAAGATCGAAGGGCAGGCAGAAACCTCATACATCCATATAAGCCATTTTCCGCCCGCGGTGAACTGCCCCTTGGTGATGTCAGCTGTGAAGGTGCCCAAGAACTTAGCACACACGTCTGGCGCAGCCCTAGTCATTCGATAATTGAACCACTCTTCCATTTCCCCGCATTCTTCTGCCCCTACCACTCCTACTTTCACCTGTGTACAACAATCACGATATGTCTCAAATTTTTATTCCTCCTGCCAGGATTCTAGGTCTACTACATCAGCAACTCACACGCCAAGGAGTCGTTGATATAGACAGACAAGACAATTCAGGTTGAAGCCTGTGCACGTGCCCTAATGCTCCGAATTCACGATCAACCAAACTCGCTGAACGACCACTGGACATTAGAATTACGGGAAACATCGATCAGTGATCACCATCCGCAACTCTTCTACCTTCTTTAAGATAACTCTCTTGAATTTCTTGTAATCCTCAAACTCTTCCAGACGCCGTCCTCTTCTTCCAAACTCTTCATCCGGGTTTACGCCTTTGGGCAGAATCACTCCCGTGTAAACCGTGCCGAAGGAACCTTCTCCCAGTCTTTGATCAATCACAAAATCCGTCCGCTTCCAGCTCCTTCTCCCACGCAAATTCTCAATAGCCGCCTGTGCTGGCGCCCCAATGTACATATCGAATGCTCCTTTTAAGACTCCCGGCTTTGCTGTTAGGTAAATAAATCCTATCCCCAAAGCACCGGCAGCACGATACCTCTCGAAGTCGGAGAGCTCCACCAACGACTTCACAGCGCCAGCATTCGCCAACTCTGACAATCCACCCGATGCAACGTCCGGCAAGTTACTATACAACTCCGGCATTCCGTGCTGGAGACTATCAATGAAAGGGAGCTGCTGCATTATGACGTCCGTGACAGCAGTGGCAACCACATCCACCGCAACCCTCACTTTCCCGTGCCCATTCCCCTTCCCCTTCGCAGAACCGAAATGGGCAGGACACAACTGCACCGCGGCTTTCAATCCCTCGCACCCCAGGAACCCACTTCGGCATCCCGACGACAAGCATCCGCCTGTTCGATTCAGCTGCAACCCAGAAGCGGAAACCGACGGCACATTCACGGCATTCACGCCGATTATCACCGTTGCCCTACTGGGATTCAGCTGCAGGCCCATTGCATTCACCGAATTCAAGCGCACGGCCCTCAGAAACCTCTCTCTCACCCCCACCAACTCACCGGCGATTCATGTGACCCATATACCTCAAAATCGAGCCACAGAAAAAGGGTACGAGGAGCATGCAACGGAAGGGCATATGGACGAGAGAGAGAGCAGAGAGGGCAAAGAGCATTCGATCGATCGAAGCCATGGCGAGAGAGAGTTTGAGGGCCGACGAATCCATGGCACCGTGAAGGGAGGCACAGCGGCCACAGATTCCTCATCGCAGAGGATAGCGCCGCACCCCCCGCATGCCCCGATTCATGCCTAGCTGGCACTCGCAATCGACCTAGGTGGCACTGGCTGATAATCCTACGTGGCACGGCTTCGCGCCAACCGGGGGGCGGGGGGCTAGCTTTCGCACTGCCCTTTCGTCGACGATCGTTTTCTTAGGGTTCCTATTTTGGGTGTCTTTTTTATTTTTATTTTTATCGAAGTGTTGTCCTCTTGGCGTAGATCCTTAAAATTGAATCATGTTAAAGAGTTTTGGATAAAGTTTGGATTTTTGATTAGAACTGATATTTTTTTAAGTTGGTGTAGTTGTTTAAGTGTTTTTCATCATAATCTTTTGTCTCAGTTGTTAAAAACTGGTTTCCTTTGAGAAAAAAAGGTCATCCGAGTTGTGAAATAAGGAGTGTTTTAACTTATGTGAATTTCTAGATTTGGTTTTTGAGTTCTTTGAACGTAGAAGTACAAACTATCTTTAGGTGATACAGCTGTTTTTATTTTGAAATTATTTTCTGGTTCCTTACAAATTTTCCAAATGATGCCAAACAAAATTAGTGTATAACAAAATGTATTTGACTTATTTTTCTAAAATGTATTTATACCATGCTTTAAATATAACTTGAACAAAATACAAGACAATAATGCTTGCATAAAAGTCCTATTTTAAATCTTCTAAACATGCAGATAAACAGAATTTAATAAAAATTATATATACAACCAGTAGGTTGATATTTATTTTCTTATGACTTTAAAGTTACTGTCAACATGCCATAAAAAATGCTTTATCAAAATTTTAAAAGAAAAAAATATTTAAAAGAAGTACCTTACAACTTTGAAATTAGTTTTGGAAACCTTTCATTTCATTGAAGCTTTTATAAAACTATCACACCAAACAAAAGAAATATAACAAAATTAACAATAAGTTTGAGATAAACTAAGTTTATTTAAAATTTAATTATAACTATAATATTAATAAATCTACCACATATAAGAATATCTACTCTCTTATTTAATATTAGAAAATTATATATTTTTCAAAAAACATACACCTATTTAAAAACTACCACATATAAAATCTACAACCATGAAGCTACTTCTATGTTTTTTTTTGTAAAAAAATAGTTACTTACACAAGTAATTAATACTTACTTCTATTTATTAAAGTAATACTAATGTTCTTCAAAAATTATAAAATTTTACAATGATATCAAAAAAATTACTCAATGCTTGAAGATTATACAAGATAAGCTTTATTATTTTCCAATTATATTGTAAGTTATACAAATTTAATAAATAAGTACAAAATCATCCTATTTAATTCTAATTGATAGTTGTAGTAATTTTGATGTACATGTAGACACACTTCAATTTCTTTTTTTATTGCAAAACCTATTTATTGTTGGTTGTTGTACTATCTATATTACATTCTCAATTCAATTTATGAAAGATAAGATCAAATATCAACTTATAAAAGATAAGATTAAATATTCTAAGCTTTGCTAAAAATACCTCTAAGGTTTTGAATATTTGATCTTATCTTTCATAAATTGATGCAAATATGTTAAGAGCTTGTTTATCATATAATGTTCCAATCAATATCACTTTAACTTCTTTAATTAAATAACTTAGTCATTGGAGCTTTAAAAATAATTACATGAATAATAAAATATTAAAACATGAATCTAATTTCATCAATTTTTTTCAAATATGCTACTTTTGATTTTTTATTAAATATAATTTATTAAAATAAATAAATAAAAGTGAAAGTAAAATAAATAAACTTATAGAAGATATTATCTTAAGTAAGTTGCTAATGATCAAAGGATTGACTCTTGGTATGTAGAAAGACATCTTATGAAGGAGAGATGAGATTAAGGATCAAGAATGAAAGTCAAGAGGATAAAAGATCTACTAATGAATATCCAAAGATTATATAAGAATTCTAAGTATATGCTATAAGATATCTTTGAGGTAGATGAATTGACAAAGAATCTTAGAAGCATAAAAAATATTCTAAATGTATATCTTCATAGTTGATAAGATATCAAAGAATACATTTAATATATCAATATATGGATGTAAAAATCAAAGGATGGAAGTTTTCATTAAAGGCAACAACCACCACTTATAAGTAATGGATGTTAAAAGTGATAGTTATCTTACTTCATACTCTCTTTATATGCAACCTTATAGATGCCATGTATTATGAACTTCAAAGTTGTCTTTCTTTAATAGATAATAGATCCATTCACCTTTACTTGTTAGTTTTGTAGTTCTTTAAAGTCTTTCTTATTGTTAGAGATAGATCTTATAGTTGTTGTTGATATTAATATTTGATATTTTCTAAATCCTACTTTTTACACCTAATTATTAATGTAGTTTTGCTCTTACTTATTTTTAAGTATATACATAGTTTTGAAGGTTGTTAGATACCTTAAAATGATGTTTTAGAATACTAGTGTTGTATTTCTTTAGTGAATTATATTATTGGTACACTAATATTATACTTTTATATATTAAAGTTCTTACAAGTATCTCTTATAATTATAAGAGATAATTTTTTGAGATTAAAATTATTTTGTAAGATTAGAAGTGAATAAAGAGTATCAAATCTTATAGAAGATGTTTAAATAGGATATAAAACTTATGAAAAGTCTTATAAGTAAAGTTATGAGTGATTAAAAAATGAAATCCCTAATTTATTTACAAAGAAGTCATTTGGGGTTTCTAAGGCAGTAATATCTTTACCTTGATTTTGAAAGCTTTATTTTTTTTTTTTTTTTTTTATTTTGTTTTATATACTTCTTCCTTAGACATGGCTTCAAGTGAATGTGAGAGTTTGATAGTAATTAAGAAGTTTAGAAGTAACAAATTCTACTATTGGAAGAAAAAAATAAATCTTTTGTTGATGTCATTAGACATTTAGGATAATGTTGATGAAAGTAAAGAGCTTTCAAGCAACAATGCTAATGTCAAAGTGAAGAAAGAGTATAAATGTTGAGAAAGAAAGGCTTTTGAATTGACTGCAATCAATCTTAATGATGCAAATTTTTCACACCTAATTGCTTACAATGAATTAGTAGTAGCATGAAAGACTCTTTGTAACATCTTTGAGAGTAGAAACTTTTCCAATATTCTATGGGTAAAGAAGAAGTTCTTAACAATAAAGATAGAAGAAGGAAATGATTTCATAACTCATGTCAATAAGAAAAAAGCACTTACAAACCAATTAGTAGTTGGTGATAAGTCCGTTGACAATTATGAGATTATTTTGATATTACTTATGAGCCTTTCAAAGTCTTAAAAATATCTAATTGTAGTATTGGAATCCATCAACATGAAGAAACTTACATTGGATTATGGCATATCAAAACTAGTCCATAAAAAAACCAAGAAGAAAGAATAAGGACTTTAAATCAATAATTAAGCTCTATTTTTAAAACAAGAAATGGATAGATATTTTAATCAACATGATAATTCAAAAAAATATATAAGAAATTACTATATTTATAAAAAATCAAATTATTTTGTAAAAAATTGCTACAAAGCCAAGAAAGAAGATAGAAAAAATGCAAACAATACTTGTGATAACTTTGGTGGGGATGATTATCCTTTCATGGCAAATAAAGGAGTCTTCATGGCTGTCATGTCTAAGTAGATTATAGATTCAAATGCTACTAAATATAATACACCATGTAAATGTTTCTTTCACACACATGAAATAATTTCAGCAACAAAAGTTTAATTGAGAGACAATGATATGGTACAAACCATTGAAATAGGTTCTATTGTAGCAAAGATTATTGTACAAGATCAAATCAAAAAGATCAAATTGAAAGAAGTGTTACATGTGTCAAATATAAAGAAGATTTTTTTTTTTGATAAGCAAACTTATATCACATGAATGTAAAGTTCAATTTGACATAAATAGATATTTTGTGGAGATATTGAATAGATAAGATATAATTAAAAGCTTTAGAGATAGTAATCTTCATTTCATCAATTGGAAAAAAGTGAATAGAACTAAAATGGGGGAATTTGCTAAATTTCTATAAGATTATAATAAGTTTATAATTTGACATCAATAACTTGATCATTTGAATGCCAAAAGCATGAAAGAGCTCTAATCTATAGTAAATGGCTTAGATCTTGGTCAATTTAGCCTTAATGCCATAATACTTATTTGTAAAGATTGTATACAAGGCAAACAATAAAAGACTTCATTTTCAAGTGGAATTAAAACATGTAGTAGCAAATTATTAGAGATTTTATATTTTGATATTTGTGGATCAATGAAGATGCCATTAATTGGAAGAGTAAGGTATTTTATCATATTTATTGATGATTTTTTAAAGAAAGTATAGATTTACATGTTTAAAATTAAGAGTGAGTATTTTTTAAGATATAAAGAGTTTAATGTGCTTGTGGAGAAGCAATGTGAGTGCAAGATTAAGGTGTTGTACATGGACAATCTAAGTAAGTATATATCAAAGCATTTTAATGAATTTTTGAAGATTTAAGGCATTGCAAGACAAACCTCAACTCCTTACATTCTACAACAAAATATAATTTCTAAAAGAATAAATCACACCATTGTATAGATAATAAAGAATATTCTTTATGCTAAAAATATTAGACATGAATATAAGACAAAAGCCATGGTAAATACAGTATATATAAGAAATAGGTGCCATACAAGTGTAGTCACATCAATGACTCCATAAGACGCTTGAAGTGGCAAAAATTCTTGTGTTTTATATATGAAGACTTTTGAATGCATAGCTTATACAAAGGTATCAGATTATATAAGGTCCAAATTTGATGCAAAAGAAATAAAATGTATGTTTGTTGGATATTGTAAAGATACCAATGTATATTAGCTAATGTCTTTAGAAACCAAGAAAATCATCAAAAGTTGTAATGTTGAATCTTTGGAGTATGAAAATTCTTGTAAGC